CACAATACTCTACTGACATTTTTTAATTAAGGGCAAATCTATACAGTTTTCTGTCCAAAAGTGCAAGTACAAAATTTTAGATGTTGACCTTTTGCCAGACACAGAAATGTAGCTTGAATAGCACAAGATTATTATTAGCACATTTATTCACCCAACTCCAGCAAGAAACCCAGCAACCTCCTTCAGCCCCACCTGTAGTTGTTCACATCGATCTGCCATCCATGGAAAGCACAGCCCTGGAAAAAAACATGGAGATACGGAGGGCAAGACAGAGCTGCTTTGGGAATTAAAATTTTGAATGAGTGCAACTGTATCAGGGAAGGCAATTTTTTCCCCCCTCCATTGTTAAAAGGGTTATTAAAGATATAACGAATGTTCATCAAATGGGTTTTAAGGCTCTGCTGTTTTTCTCTCTCTGTATGTCAGCGCATGTGCATTCCCAAGGAGTGATAAAACAGTCTCAACAGCAACGTCAAGCAAGCAAGGCTGGGGAGAAGCAGGACAAAAGCTTGGTAAGTATCAACAACAGCAAATATGTCTTCATTAGCACATCACAGATGTTCTTCATATTTGTGTGAGGTTACACAACCTCGTATTCTCACTCACAAACACAAGAGTGGTGAGACAAGTTTTATTTCAGATCAGAGCAGCACTGTTTGATCTCCAGCAGCATGGGGTCTCTGAAATTCCTAGCAACAGCTGCAAATCTGCAGCTGAAGCAGCAGCAAGAATGTTAAGGCCAGCTTCCACAGTAGCCATAGTCAACTCACATCTCAGATGGAGTATTTCTAGCCTTTACTTTTTGCAGGAAAAAACCCAACAAGTATCTCCTGGGGTCACTACCATATGTCAGGCAAACCAGCAAAGCAGCCTAATCCAGCAGTGTTTTTCTTGTTTTACTGAAGGCAAGCCAAAAGGTTTACAACCCACTGCTACAATTGCAGAATGCCAGCTGTTCATCAGGTCTGCTTTACAGGTAACTCATCTTGCATCTCCAAAGGGCTCTGCTACCATTCCCCTTCTGGGAATGCAACATAGAGGAGGAGCTTTTCCTACATGCACAGAACTTTTTTCTTTTCTTTCTCCCCCTCTCCAATTCAAATGTTGTTCTCCATTTTTGCATTTCATTTCAGTTTTCATTTCCCCCACTCTTGGACAGCATGATTAGATTGGACTAGTTACCTAAGGCTATGTAAGGGTATTGTGTCTCTGGCCCCTGGGCTGCGGTGAGAAACGAGTTTTTTGAGGGGCCACCTTCAACGCCATCAACAGGTGGCTGACAGGATCAATTTTTGAGTTTGCCTTCGAAACCTGCCCTGCAGTTTTGCTCTCAAGAGAAAACACATTCTTTTCCTCCACCATTTATCTGCCCTGAAGTTAACAGAGATACACCAACACCTGCCAGCAGACGATCCTGCCTGCCTTTGAGAGCAGGAGAAGCACCGGGGATCAACTTCCCTGGGACTTAAGTTTCAACTGCTGTTATTTCACTACATAACCTGCATGCACTTCAACATCCTCTCCCACAGATAGAGCTGCAACATCACCTGCCTACTTCACAGGAGCAATGGGTTGCTTCTCTAAATAGCTACATGACAACTGACACTTCTGGCAGAGAAGCAGCACGTGGAAACGCATCATTACGTTGGTGGTATGGTAACTGCGAGTGGTTCAAGCAGCCAAGTGTGGACTGACAGGATCACCTTTGTTTAGCAAACAGTTAAACTCATTCACCAGAGATCAAGCAGACCTACATTGTAATTTGGCACAAGCTTTAGAAGTGAGCTGGAATGATGGATAAGCCATCACCAACGTGACTCAGATGGATGCTGCTCTCCCTTTCCTACCTCCCAGGAGCTCCTGGGTGGTGGTGGCAGCAGTCTGTGTCCTTATTGACTCCATTTCCTTATTAATTCCCTTATTGATCTCCTCACTGCGCACTAGGCAGATACGACATTTTGATCTCCCCTTACTTCTGACAGCGCTGCTGCTGGATGGTAAAGCCTCTTGAGTAGTTTGCATTTTCTGTACTCTGGGAGTGTGGATACACCTGGACTCACAGAGCAGACACTCGGCAAGGGGTACCTGGGAAAGTCAGGGAAGCTTGTTGTGTTAGCACCTGAGCTGCTCATCTGCCTGCTCCCTGATGAGGAAATCCACAGAGGGAGTGGTGCTTCAGCTTCCCCGCTGTTCTTCCATTTTCAGGTCAGGCCAGTGGCCAAAAATACCCTGAATCATGAAAATCTGCTCAGGATATTATAGCTACTACTTCGTTCTCTCTAATTGTAGAGTAACTGGTCTACAATCAGAGCAGCAATTGCAAAGGTGGAGTCTGTGAGGATGGGTAAATAGCGTGGATGTGAAATCTGTTCTTATCTGTGATACCCATCTAGGGTCTTGCACTATATCCATCATAGAATCATAGAATCATTAAGGTTGGAAAAGACCTCAAGGATCATCAAGTCCAACCGTCAACCCAACACCACCTAACTCACTAAACCATGTCATGTTGCCTGTCCCACATCCATCACCTCCACCACTTGAACACAGTCCTCATGCGTAGGCACCCAGCAGTGACTGCAAGACCTGCACACAACCCCCAGGCATTTCAGAGGGGAAAACACAGAATGTAATTCTCAACAGGAGAATACACTATGATTTTTACTTACACTGTTTCATTGCTTATTACACAGGCCCCAAATGCCCTGTGACAGGGGTGTGAAGAAGGGGTAAAAATAAGGGAAGAGTAAGTGCAGAGAGATGAGGTGGTGGGACAAAGTAACGCAGTTTCCAGTGATGCAGCCAGCAGGAGACTCCCAACTCCTCGTCTGTGCTGCTGGGTGTCTGTGCTGCTGGGTCGGACCGCAAAGATGCAAGGTGGGGACAGGGGCTCACTTTTGAAAAGTGCCAACTAATCCTGAAATTACTGAAGTAACTGGAGCACTAGCACTGGTGCCACTGAAGGACTGAGCACCTAGAGAAGAGCTCAGTTGGTTCTGTGTGGTTCCAAGCCATGATAAGGCTTCGGATGCTCTATAAACAATACCACCAGCGCAAAACATGGTATCTAATAAAGCTGAGGAAATGTTTGCAATCAGTTCTCAAAACAGACCCTTTCATAACTGAAATACTGCAGAGCACAAGAACAGCACTATAATTATAATAAATGGGTGCTGCTGAATTAGAGAAGAACAAAATCTGTTGTCAGTAAATCCCATTCGCACAACCAGAGGCAATGTCATTAGGGGCAATTATGTTACTCTGTGTAAGAGCATATTCACTGCAGGGCTCGGACAACATTTGTTAGTCCCTCTTCTTTTTAACTTGCAATGCCTTTTCTGGTAAATTGAAGACTGTTTGGAGACTAGCTGCAGGAATGGCTGGAGGACTGTAAAAAATTGCAGGCCACTGAAAACACCATCAGCTACGTCAGTGGGTTGTATCAAGCAGCAGGTTAAGGGAGGAATTGGTCACTCTATGGGAAATAGACTTTTGGTAATGGGCTCTTCAGTGTGGCATTTAAAGGTGTAAACAAGTCCAATGACTGGAAGCTGACATTAAACAAACCAGACTGAAAATAAAGGAGGACATTTTCAACAGCCAGGGTAATTAACCTTCAGTATGATTTATTGATGGTTGTGCTGGATTTTCCCTTCCTGGAAACATTAAAAAAAAAAAGGATGGAGGTTTTTCTAAATGACTTCCCAAATGCCCAGTGTGGTAAAACAGAACAGGGTGCTGCTCAAAAAAGCTAAAAATGACACTCACCCAGGTTCAGGCCCTCTTCAGTGACAATGAACTCCTGTCCTCCCAGCTGAACCTGGGTGGGTTAGGAGCTCTTGGAGGGCCATTGGTATAACCCTGTCAGCTGGCCAGAAGACAAAACATAGATGTAATTTCTGGAGTCTCCTGCTGTACCACATGTCAGGAAATAACATTTCTTGCACCTCCTGACATGCCCTGTGAAGCTGGCTCTCCCCTTGCTGTCCATCAGAGCCACTCCTCATCTTGTCTGTCCTTGCCACATATGCCTGTTTTCCCCAAGGACATTATCTGCAACTTCCATGCCTGCCTTCCCTTTCCAACCCCACCTTTTCCCTGTACTCATTCCCCTGAGCGGTTTGTCCCTTCTCCCAAGCCCCCAGGATCACAGGGGAGAGGAACTGGGAAATGGGGAGTAGCTGCTTGCTGCACCGAGCGCTGCCCAGGCAGTGGGGAGCAGCTGAGGCCCCAGCTGAGCTCCACTAACTGCACCCATGGGAGCGGCGAGCGGAGGCATGCTGCTCATAGGGAGTGACTCCATCCACGCCTGGTGGGAAGGCGCTTCGAAGGTACCACAGGGGATATTGCATATTACAGACGAGCCCTTGGCCCAGATTTACTGTGCATCTACGGGCAAGGCAATTCATCCTCCTGCTTCAGCTTCCCCCCGTACAGAATCACAGTAATGATATTTAGCCTGTTACTGCACAGGAGCATTTTCAGGATCAATTAGTTTAGTGTTCATGCAAAGCTCTGTGGACAGAAGCCTCAATACAAGTAGTAAGTACTATTATTATTACCGTACTTCAGATGGCTACAGCACTGGCATTTTCCAGGCATGCACCATTAACAATTTACTAAGATAAATGGCCCAGGAACCTGAAAATGCATTTATGACAACTACCTCCTGCTTACCAGCATACATTCAGCCAAGTAAATGACACCTCATTGCTCAACGTGTAGCTATGGTAACATTTCTATCTTATACATTGAAGTGTGCGTGCACACACACATGCACACACACACACACAGCTGGAGGGAAGCCAGGCTACCTCATTTAATGACATGCAAACACCAAGCCAGGGAACTTTCCCAGCCTCTGAAAGCCAAGCTGTCCCTCAGGAGTCAGGGGGTGAGGAGCAGGCAACCCACTCCAGGGTCTTTCCAGCAGGAAAGGCTGGGCTTTCGGCAGGCTGCACCGCACAGCTGAAGCCCCACTGGGCCCTCAAGGGACTTACTTTAGAGCAGTTTTGTAGTGGTAGATCGCCTCAACGTTACGGCCCTGGTCTTTCAGGAAATTGGCATAGTTGTAGTGCACCTTGGCGTTGTGGGGCAGGGTCTTCACTCCAGAGCTGCAAAGAGGAACAGAAGCAGGACAGAGTTAGTGGCCAGGTTACCCCACCTTCCCCGAGGTCTCCCTTCTTCTCACAGTCCCTTTTTCTGAAAGGTTTGCTTGGATTTTGAGCACCTTGTCACCTCCTGCGTGCTCATGCCATCACAACTCATCTTATAACGCCAAGCTTGCCCCACGCACTGGCACACCACATGCCCCAGGTGGACATAAATATCTGTCAGCAATTCAGTTCCTTCTGGCCACCACGGACACCTCTAGCACCAACACTGCAACACTCCCTGTGGCCAGATGCTGTCATATATCAAAATCTGAATTATTAAATTGAAAGATCCTGAAAAGGATAATATTTAGAGGGGAAAGTGTGTAGTACTTTCTGTAACAGCCATAACAGGCTCCCTGCTTAAACTTGAGTGTCACAAAGCACCTTATGAAAATCTTGATTTAAATCTGTCGGCTGGAGGTACCAGAAAGAAGGTACCTTTTCCATACGCATCAGCCACTAGAGGGGATGCATACCATACTCTGAGTACCCAGCCAGCACCTAAGCACCGCTCAGCGCTGAGCAGAGCATGGCCAGGATGTGAGGGCTAAGGGGACTCACCCTTAGCTGGCAAGTTGTACGCTCTCACATTGTAACACATGACTGTGGGCATGTGGCTGCACAGCCACCCCATCCCTCCCCTTCATCTCCCCTGCTGTGTACAGTGGACTCAACATTTTGAATTAATAATGAGGGCACAAAGACAAAAGGAGAAGAGCAAGCATATGCTTATTTACTTAATTGGAAGCAGAGAAAGCAAGGTACACCTTGCACAGCTAGAGGAAATGCCATTTCAAGGTTAAAGAGAGAAAGAAATCACAGGAGCACGTACACCATGGAAACATTTCCCCCTGCAAGAATCCAGAGAAATTGGTACTCCATTTAATGGGGGAATCCTTTCCAGCACATAAATAGGGGCTCTCTAGGGTAATAGAAAATAAGGACGGATGAATCTGTTCATGTAAAAGCACACAAAGTGCTGTTTCTGGCTCACAAGCAGATCCCTGCCAGCTGCTGTCTTTTCTCGCCCCATCATCTCTGACCCTCCTACCTCAGGTAGGAAAAGCAGGGATTAAGAATTTCCCAAGTCTTGTTGCTTTGCTTTGTCTGTCTCGCCTGTTTAACTTTAATGGGCATGGAAGTTGATAATGATGAGACGGGGTTGCACACAGCCCCTACAGTGGGGTACACACCTTTTCCCCTGGTGACCCACAGCTGCAGAAACCCTTTGTCGGGGATTTAATTGTAAAAATGGCGCTGGAGAATCATAGCAGCAAATACACTATCTTTTTGGTTATCTGCAGCCAGTGGTATCAAGCATCACTAATGCCTACTTGTGAGAGCTTCCAGAGCTTCGCCCACGGCTGCCTTACAGAGTTCAGCACAACACAACCACAGTTTGCCTACTGAAATTAAAAATACACCTTGCATTTGGCTTCCTAATCATCAGGTATTTCCAAATTACTTACTGGGAGCACTGCAGGAATAAGACATTTTGTGACTAATCGCTGAATTAAATCAGTTAATTGATGCTATTCTTAAGAGAATGATTTTCTATATTAGTTTTTACAGAGATATACTGCACCAGCAGCAAGTAATGTGTGACTGCTACGGCTGTGTTAATTTCCATTGGCCTTGGGAGCTATTAACTACACACTTACAACCTCTGGGCATTATTGGAATATTAATTCTTATACAGAGAGGGTTTTATTACATCAGCGCCAGTGTTACAGGCAGAGACATGGACAGGCACTCAAAACTACTGCTCTCTCAGAGTTATGTGCAATGAGTTGCTGGCTCTGCTGCAGCCCCTGCCGAAACAGACCAAACTTGAGTTAATCGTGAATACATTACATATGCACAAGTACTTCAGTTCTAATGAGATACAGTTTTAACAGTAAGATGCATATGTGTAAATATTTTAATTTGGGACTGTTTCCCTTTAAGTAGAATTTATTATTAATCCCGCTGGCCCCATTTATTAAAATGTCACTAATAAAGCCTCTTTCATCTGCATGCTTTGGGTAGGGATGACATAGGAAAGACAGAAATCCATTCAGGTTCTTACGATGCTCTCCTCTGCATCACGCCACTCGCCCTCCCTGACCTATTTATTCTCCTTGCACAGACGGGGGCGGGGGGGAAGGTATCTCATTTTGCAAATGTATGTAGCAATGACCGGGGCTGCATGGAGTCTCTGTGCTGTGGGGGGTAGTAGAAAACACAGTGCTGGACATGGAGGGGATTTTTTAAAGACAGTTTAGGCAAACATTCCAGCTAATTGATTCTTGACCAGCCGAGAACGCTGCTCATTGACAGAGGAAACAATAATGTCCATAATGAAAGCCAAGCAGGAAAGGGTGGAGTATAAATAACAAAGCAGAACACAATGTTTTTCCATTTCTGCTTCCTACAAGACCCCAGTCTCTCACAATTTCAATCTAATTTTCCAACGTGGTTTTCCAAACTCTCTTATTTCCCTCCTCCCCAGCTCAGCACACATATGCCCTTCTGAAAATCTATGGCACCAATCTGGCTCCAGCCAGAAACAAGCCTACCAAGAACAGACGTCACTTCTCCGGAGGATTTCCTTCCCTTTTGACTTCTACGACAGCAGTAAGCAACGTAAATGGAAAATAAACAATAGGCAATCACTTTTACATAACACTTTCTCTCCATGGAAAGGCAAAAGCCTACTAGCTGTACATCAGAGAAATAAAATACCACTGATATTTTCCAGCCTCAAATACCAGCATTAGCCAAATCCCACTTGCACTGGGAAAAGTCTCCTGTGATCCCCTCTGTTGTTTTCCTAAGTGCATGTTCTGCTCTGCAAAGTGACTCTGTGCAAGGCAGAGGCTTCACTGATTTTCTGTGGTTTCCATACAAAAAGTGCTCAAGGAAATGAGGCCACTCCTGCCTCAGCAGGAGCCCTGGGAGACCGATGGGGTCTCCTCTGGTTTGGGAACCATTATCATCAATAAAGGTTCTCTACAGCAGATTATGCTCTGGATGACGCAAACAATTGCTTTCTTTGGCCTCCTACCCTTGTATTGATTTTCACAGATATCAATGTTGGGCCGTATTAAGCCATTCTATAGAAGATGCACAAAATGCAATAGGACTTGCTCTCCTCAGCTGAGCTAGCTTTTAGAATTAGCAAAAGCATGCAGCAGTAAATGCCACCTTTGGGGCTAGATTGGTTTTTGCAAATGACTTAAGTCAGCAGAGCTGGCTTTGGAGGGAAAACTGCTGACGAAGAAAATCCCACTTTTATACAGTTCCGTTGCTGGTTACAACCGCATTTCCAGGTACTGCTCACAAACGTGGGCAGTACATGCAGATGCTTTTGAGGAGCAACAGGAAACATGGCAGCTTCACAAACCTTGAAAAGGTCGGTACAGCGGATGCAGAGGTTAGCCCACAGTTCTCACTTCCCTCTCCCTGTCTCCCTGTCTTCAGACATTAACACTGACCATGGCTGGAGCCTGACCTCCTGGCCTGTGCCTTTGCTCTGTAGAGTAGTTCCTTAAATTTTCAACAAGCAAACCCTCCTTGCCCACCTGCCAATACGGTAAGACAAACTGATGGGGCTTCTTGAGATCTGTTGGAATAATACACCTCAAATATCTAGATCTCTATATATTTGGCTACTTCTTATACTTGCGGTTCATTTGCTTCTCATTTAGGCCTTGCACATATGCTTGTGCACCTATGTGGAGATGCATCATTTCCTCAGACAGCAGCATCCTCCCCCACACTGCTCCTTTCAGTCAAGATCCAGTGGGACTTCAGCATCCAGAAAACTTGGTCCCTGAGCTGGGACTGAGAGTCGCTGCAGCCCATGACCAGAGATGGCAACAGTACTGACACTTGGCAGCACAATGTCACAGTGGGGTAAGCCTTGAGAATGGGACAAAATGAGGTACAAGCACACAACTGATAACATGCCGAGTATACAAACTTCTCCTGGACCAGCACAGAGAAAGCATGTATAGCAGAACAGGTCTCAGCCAAAGGCCAGGGAATCAAGACAGATCAACCCTGAAGAAACAAATCCAAGCAAATGGAGGAATGGAAAGCCGACCTGAAGGCAAAAAAAAAGTAAGAGGAGGAAAAAGCAGTAATTAATTAAAGCAGCAAGTGGAGAAAGAAGAACTAAGAACTAGGAATGGGAGTAAAGATTCTCTCAGCACATACTTCTTAAAATTTAACACACATAGAGACTACCAGTAGGTTAATTTATGTCTTCTTTCCCACATCTATAGATTTGCTCTGTTTCCTTATTATTTTCCCTTATACTTCTTTACTGTTCCTTATCTCTTCCTCCTGCCCTGTCTTTTCTAATTTATTGCTGTTGCACATGCCTCCATCCACTTCTTCCTCCTCTCCTCATCAGCCTTTATATAGCTTTCTCCTTCCACTCCAAAGAGGACATCTCCCACTCCTGGGATGGAATTATCTTCTTTCTATACTACTCTTTTTTTGCATTTCCTTCCCATCAACAACAAGAGTCTGTATTACAGACTCACGATACACCTATCAAAGAAGATCTTAAAAGGACAACAAAAACGCCAATAGGGTTAAATAGCATAGCAAAGAAGGCTATGAGAAATTAAAAACACCCTTTAAAAAGTGAACATCACAGCTGCAGAAGGAAAAAGGAAAAGAGTATAAACTTCAGCAAGTTAAACATAAACCACAATTAGGCAGACCAAGAGAGATTTAAGGAAAAACTTGCTAAAGCCATCAAAGCTAGTCATGGAATACATCTGACATAGGAAACCTGCCAAAGATCCCCTAAGGCAAGTAGATGATGGAGGTCTAAACGTAGTACTTGAAGAAGAAGAGGCCACAGCAGAAAAGCTAAATGGATTATCTGCACCAGTGCTCACTACAGGGGAACTGAAGGAAGTTGCCACATGAGAACTTTTCCTTACAGGGGCAAGTCCAAAGCACTGTCTCAAACCAAAGTGGCAGTAAAAGAGGCTTTAAAACAAATCAACACTAAGAACAGTCATAAATCCATTTGGCCTGGTAATACGTATACAAAGGAAATCAGAAGTGAAGCTGCTACTAGCTGCGGTATATAACCTGTCATTTAAATGAGGCTGGCACTAGAGAAATGCGAGGTGATGAACATGACATCATTTGGCTCCAGGGGAGGGAGATCTGGGGGGGCCAACAGACCAGTAAGTCTGATTTACACTCCGAGTAACTTGGGAAAAACCGTAATAAAGACTAGTTCTAGCAAACTTCTGAATAACTACAATTCAACAGAGAGGAATTAAGCTTGTATTTTGCAGAAATAAGTTAGCTGGACAGATCTGCTTTTCTTTGATGGTCTCAACAGGTACATAGCACTGTAACTATGGAAAGCTTTTATGAAAATCTAAGTATAGCCTAGTCAGTCAGAATCACATACATCAACGCTGTATACGTGAATGTTCAAAAAGACTTTTGATAAAATTCCTCTTTAAAGACTTCCAGTTTCTTAAAGGCATCATGGAGTAAGAGGGAAGGTCCTCTTGTGAATCAACACCTAGTTGAAAAACAGCAAGCAAAGACCACAGTCTTCTCCAGCACAACTGGAGAAGACTGAAAGTAGGGTTCACAAGAAACATCCACTGGCATCTGAGCTGCTTCACATGTTCACAAAGGATCTGGAAAGAGAGGAAGCAGGGAGGCAAGATGTTTGCTGATGACACTGATGTGAATCACACTGCAGGAATTAAAGCTAACTACGAATTATTGCAGAAGGATCTCATGGTATTGAAGACTGGGCAATAAGATGGCAGATGAAATGCAATTCTGGTACAGGCACAAGTATCACACTCTAAATCTGCACACAGATTGATGCCTATAAATCAGACACTTCCACTCACAATAGATATTTTGGAGTTTGTGAAGATACTGCTGTGAAAATATTAGCCAGTGCTTAGGACTGGTCACAAAAGGCAAGTGGAAGATCAGGGATTAATAGGAGAAAAGAACAAAAACCAGAAATCAGCCCTACATTACTGTGCTGCATGTATCTCTTGAATGATGATTCTGGTCTCCTTCTCACAAGGACCGGCAGAGGACATGGAAGGCAGAGGACGAGTGATGAGATGATGGTTACTCACCACTCATTCAACATTCCAGAACTACAGGAGACCAAACAAGATGATCAGGCAGAAGGCTCACGGCATACGAAAGGGAAGTGTGCACACTGTGTAATTTAACGATGGAGCCCAGCGCACAGGATGCTGTAGAAGCCAAAACTATAAATAGATTTTAAAAAGCAGCCAGAGACATTAATAGAAGAAAAGTCCATCAGTGGCTGTTAAAAGCAAAAAAAGCAAGTAACTCCTGACTCAGGAAGTCTTTAAACTGCAGATCACTGCAAGCTGGGAGAGGACTGGAAAGAAGCATTGCTGCTGCTGGCCCTGTTCTTACATTGCTTTTCTAGGCATCTGCTCCTGATTGCTCTCAGGAGCAAGCCATGATACGAGGTGACCCATCAGGAGCACATCTACGTTCCTGCCTTCTCCTCAAAAGCCGAGTGCAGAATTCTCTCCTGGAATTGTCCCCAAAAGACCAGAGCTGAAGAGCAAGCCAGCTCTACCCAAGCCACCGAGCCCTGCATACTACCCTGGGCAACACGAAATCCCTACCTTTGGAGAAGGTGTATTAGCTCCAGCTCAGTGCTGCATTGAAGCAGTGGCTTGGCTTCTAAATTTGAACTGGCTTGTAGATGGCTACCCTGCTTTGAATGGGAGTAGGATGGACAGAAATCCATTTGCACCCAACTAAGCTGGCATAACCTTATCCTTTTCTTCTACAACAGACACCCTGGCACCCCATATCATCCCAAGAGTGCTCCTTAGTAAGAGGAGGTGTCCTCCTCTCACCCACTCTGGTTCAACTTCACTGTTCCTAAAGACGGGTGACCACATCTGTATGCAACACAATACCAGATGATGCCTGGAACACAGCATATGGAATTGCCATCTTCCCACCTTCCTTTCAACAAGAGAATGATCCATCTTGGAAAGCCATCTGGCTTTCCTCTGAGTGGCCACTGTTAACCAGAAGGGTTTGGACTGGAAGTGTGCTTCCCAGGGATAGCTGCACAAACCCAGACTGGTCACCATGGCTTCTATTGTTTGAACAGCAAACACTGTTTCAGGGAGATGGGCAATGAATCACGTTGGAGGGAAGAAACCCCTATTCCAGACTTTTTTGAAAAAAAATCCTACTAAGAGAGCTCCAACCACTTAAATAGTGTGTCCTGAAGACCAAAGGGTACACATAAAAAATAATTTCATACTCTTTAGTGCTGCATAAATTAAACTTTGTTCTCACCAATAACTTAGGAAATAAAGCTAAGTAACCCGTGTACAGATCACCTCCATTTCTGCAATTACTTCACAATTAGACAACTGCTGAAAGCAGCTGGAGGCAAATGCAATACATTTGCTAGCAAAACACAAAATGAAACAGTCTGTTTCAGTGCAAAAAAATATATAAATGAGGTTGTAAAGAGAGCTGTTTGGCAAAGAGTAATCAAATAAAATGAAATATGGTACATTAAGTTTGGCACTTCATGGCATTTCATTTTTGTCATTAAGAATATTGCAAAAGAAAATTCAATATATTCAATAGCGTTACTATGGTGTTCTGGAGGGTTGCAATGAACTTTTTCCTATGTCTTTGAAAAGGAAACTGTTACATTATTGGTAAATCTACAGAACTGAAGTTATTTAAAAACAGTGTGTCTTAAAAATGTGATTTCCAGAACCAAAGTTTGTGCATAAGCATATAAAGTGCTGACACCAGTTTTTGCACAGTTACCAGAAGGTAGTAGGTGTGATTTTATAATAATCAAAATGTTAATCACAGCAGTGTATCAGTAGCAGGACTCACGCTAAAGAAAACTATTCCGCATAGCACGCTTACTTTAAACAATACAAAAATGCCAGTATATTCCCGTGGTCTCTCATACCTGAAAAGGGATTCTCGTGACAGCCAGATTTCATTCTGTTTCACAGTCTTCCAAGAGAAGAGCAGCAGCAGTAAAGCAAAGAGGGTCAGAACAGTAATCCTCCACTTATTTAACCACGTAGACAGCTTTTTTAGACCATGGACAAAAAGGATGCAGTATCCCATACTGGAAAAAAAAAGGAAAGGAAAAGGTACCAAAAGCTATATTGCAGCACTCTGGCTTATATGCAAGACCATTCAGCATTGCATTTATTACACAATTACAGGGCTTTGGGACTAATTATATTTTTGGGGCTGACAAAGTCCAATTCAACAGCAGTTTTCCTCAAGTCACTACAGAATTTCCAAATTAATCTAAATGATAGACCAGGATGCCAGAAGTACAGTAGCGTACATAATACCACCCGGCATAATGGTAGCTTACACCAGCCCGTGGAAGGCAGCTGCTGTTCTGAACAGCAAGCTAAGAAAGCATCATGTAATAACAGTAATACCGAGCACTACTGGAGCAGTGTGGAATTGAAACACATTATAACCCAGGGAAGTCTTTAAACAACCCCAGTGGTGGCTGCTATTAATTCCAGTTTACGAATTGCGAAGCTGAGGTGGGAGAGTGAGTGTTGTAGCCAGTGCTGCAGCAGGAGCGGGTGGCAGAGGCCATGTCAAAAGGCAGGAGTCCCTGCCTGCATCTGCATCGGGATCAGCCCGTCCCTTCTAGTGCCTGGTCCAGAATAGCTGAGATGCGCTCCTCACTGCCCTTCCATGAAACCACACAAGGTCTTCTCCAGGGCTTTTGTGGCTCTCCACACTTAACTACTGAGGCATTTTTGGTGAACAGCATTTTGAACTGAAGTCTTATTCCTATACAACTTTAAATAAATTCAGTGATTATTTACCTTAATTCAAATGTTATGTTAATTCTTCCACTGATGCCTCTCTGAGTTGGAAATTGAGTGCTTCTGGTTGCTGTACTTAGTACCCCACTAATTCTACTTGGCATTTTCAAAAAGGAATTCCAACTCCTATTGCTGGAGGAATTTCATTAGCTTATCTATAACTCTTCAATGCAGTTACTTAGCACCTGATTTAGTTTTAGACTGGAAAGCTATCTTAGTCCAGGCAGCTCCCCTTGAAGAACAAAGGGAGCAGAAGGATCTGGGAGAAAAGAGCAGCCCTTCCCAGACACTGGAACACCTTGAACCCCAGCTGAATCCCACACTTGAACACAGGCAGGCTGGAGGCAGAGCTCATCGAACCTGCCCATGCTCCAGCTGGAGATCTACACGCTTCCCTGGCCTGTACCAAGATGTCTGAGCAACTTCCCAGTGAGACTGCGAGCAGGTAAGAAAAACTAAGAACGCAATCTCCTGTCAGAGGTAGCCTCGCAACCAAGCATGCGATGTGGCAAAAGTCAATCCAGAAATCAGAAAGAGAAAAATGTCCCAACTTCAAGGAGCTGTGAGCATGCTCCCTGGCACAGTTCCTCTGCCCTCTTGGAGGGCTGGGCACGTTGCGATTGCGTGGGCTTCCTAAGGGTGGAGAGGGACAATAACTCTTGCTTTTACTAAGGAAAAAAGTGTCTGTGCTGTATGTACTGAACAGCACCAGGCAGTGGTGCTGTCTCCAGCACAGCACGGGTGCCATATGTGATACTGAGAAAAGTACAGACATAGGGGACAAACCCAGAGACAACATCAGATCAGGCAATCATTCAAACCTTCTTCATTGTTGTTTTGGCGTTCTCCCATTTTTCAGAAGAGGGTATCAATATTTTTTTTTTCACTTAGCTATGCTTGCATTTTGTTGCAACACATTTCCTGTGGCACTTGCACTGTTTTTTTCCATGAATTCCTTTGCACACACATGTTTATTGCACCTACATTAATTGCAAGCAGACATTTAAAGCGACAATATGAGATGCCAGTGCCAAACAATCCAGCTTTTATAGCTATTGAACCCTACTTTAAAACCTCTGAAAAGCTAATTTCAGGAGTAAGCCCTCCCTTTCCAATAAGAAATGCCTCAAAAATCTGCAGATGCTTTTCACTCTGTTATTTTGCCTTTCAGCAATTTCATCTTTCCCTTGGAATTAATTATCTGACATAAACATTATTTAATTGCTTTAGCACAAGGCCATTTTCAAAGGAATTTCC